GCTAATGAGACACTTTTGTGAGCTCTGGTTTTCACAAACACACCCTTTCTCCTCCAGCTGAAACAGCTTCCTGCCAGGAACACAAATCCTGATCGGGCTCCTCTGCAAACAAAGCAGCTGTGGGGAAGAGGAAATGCACTCAGTTTCCTCTAGGGCTCCTAAACAGAATGACAAAAAGGAAAGGCACTAGACTCAAATAAAGAAAGACGAATGGGCAGTAGAAAATGATAATTCCTGCCTCCTCTGAATATATATATATCATTTATGTCTCTCTTCTTCTGTGAAGGTAACCCATGAGCAACTAGGTTCTGTGTTAAATGTATAACATATCCTGAGATCATCCAAAATTGGGAAACGGGAAAAAGATAGCTTCAGATTTGAGAATACAGTACAGCGTAAGTGTTGAGCCACATGTTATATATCAGGTGGGGTTTGTTTTTTTTTGGGAAGGGTAATACTGTATACCATCAATTTTTCATTGAAGACAGTGCAACAGATTTTGATTATAGGGAGAGACATATAAAGTTAATGACCCAGCACTTGCTTGTAAGATTGTTTTGTTAGATTTATATCTCACCTTTCATTCAGGAACTCAATGAGACAGATGCAGCATTCTCTCATCCCATTTTTATGCATAATAACTTTGTAAAATTTGGGCTGAGCTTCTATGGTTAGGAGTGGACTTGAAGCCAGGTGTCTCTCATGTCAGTCCCAGCAACAACTTAACCAATACCCTTGCATTTCTGCATACGATCTAAGGATTGATCACCGGAGGAAAAGCAATGTTTTCATCTGATTCCTTATTTTTCTTTGAACAGCACAAAGGTGAGGATTGAGTTAAATCAATCATATTCTCCCTACAATGCCACTTAAGATATACAGTAAACCAAAGGAGGTAGTCTTTCTCAACTTTTATATTCTGTGGAGCAAGAAGTGGGCATTGGTGCTCTACCTACTCACATATCCCTTATCACTGAGTAATCCAGGAGAGAAACTGATCCCTGAGGAAGAGGAAGAAAAAAAAGGCATTTGATTATCCTTTTGTGCACAGCTGTACTTTATTTGTACAATTTTACCACTTAGCCTGAGGAACAATCCCTCCAACCAGATTTTCAAAGCCGAGATAGGAATTTACAGGCCTAAAGCCACATGTCCCCTCAGTCTTATTTCAGAAGCCTCTGCAAGCAAGCAATTCAGAGCTCTGGTAAAAGCTATGTGTCTAATCCCTGGCAACCTGCTATGTAGGATGTAGAAAAAGAGAAAGCAGGGGTATGGAAAAGAGGAAAAAATGTAAATATAATAGGACTGCCTATGTTTGGCTAACATGCAACCTACCTACTTACCTACCTACCTACCAAGTGTTTTGGTTTCATCCATGACTGGCATACTGCTACCACATGAGATTCCACCTCCCACAGTCTATAGGGAAAGATGAAATGGTTTCCATGACAAAACTTTCTGTCTGTAAAGTTCAGGCTTGCCTCCAGAAGTTGTGATTTCTCCAACACTGGAAGTTTTTAAGAAGAGATTGGACAGCTATTTGTCTGAAATGGTATATGGTTTCCGTTGGACTAGAAGACCTCCAATGTCCCTTCCAACTCTGTTATTCTATTCTAGTCTCAAGAGCACAAAGTGCAAATGCAGCCATTCATAACACTTGCTTCTTCGCAAGCAGCAGAGCACAGGAGAATTTGTATTTAGCCACTTTTTTTCCCTACAACTTTTCTCCAGTTACTACATAGCAAGATGGCTATGACAGAGCGGCTGAGATAGTACTAGTTATTATTTATCATTTGACAATGTCACCTTACAAATCATAGCTGTACATCACCTACTTTCCCTGGAAAATGAACGGCATTTCTGCATTGTCTTCCTTCATTTGATGTCATCCAGAATTCCCAGCCATAAAGACTGAGCTATCTGGAAAGGATCAGGTTGAGAAAGAAGAAATATACAGATTCTTATAGATGGGGGAAGTTCGAAGTCTGGACTGGTGTTGATGCAGTTGATGTTTACTTAGTCCTGGAGAGAGAACAAGATTATTTTAAAGATTATATTAAACCTCTGTACAGCGCCAAGGGCTTCATTATATATCTTTAAAGATATATATCTTTGTCTCTGGTTTTAAACAAGAAAATGTGACTCTGGACTATAGTGACTCCAGTTTGGATTGAATTTATTTCATATAAATTTGGTTCTTATTTAGTGTTTTATATAAGTCTAGAGAATTTGCCTTTTAAAAAAAACATTTTACTGGTGGGTGTTTCCACTGAAATTTAGAAATTTGCACTACATACCCAAATGGAGCCAGTTTGATGTAGTGGTTAAGGTAGTAGGCTAAAAACTGGGAGTTTTAGTCCCACCACAGGCATGACGCCAGCTGGGTCACGTTCCCTCAATCCTAGGAAGGAGGCAATGGCAAGCACTTCTGAAAAGTGCAGGGACTAGTCCAGACAGTTGCCAGGAGTCCAGACTTTCTCAAAGGAAAAAATAGAATTGCATACTGTAGTTTAATTTCCCATAGTTCATGTATATGGAAGTCTGTGATTGTTATGCTTTAAGTCAACCCTGCCTTCTGTTGATTAATGAAGTTCATGCAGTTTCCTGGGAACATTTTTGGACCTTCTCCTTGGAGCTGCCCAACACTTTTTCCAGTTATGTCCTGAACCATGTCCATACTCCTCACAAATCTTAAAGTACACCCCTTTTGCAATGTATATGCTTTCACGAATGAATTTAAATAAATGAGGTGTGTTTGATGCTTTCTGAATTTGTTTTATTGCAGACGTTTCATTACCCAAACTAGGTAACATCATCAGTGCTTAAACAAATCTTAGAAAGTTGTTTTTATATCATAAAATTACATATAACATCAGAATTTCCTTATATTTCATTACTTATATTTCCTTTCCTTATATTTCATTACTTATTCCTCATTTATTAGAGAAGTTGAGAGTCTAGAAGAGGGGTGTCAAACTCAATTTCATTGAGCTGCATCAGGGTTCTGTTTGACCTCTGGGGGCCGGGGTGGGCATGGCCAGCTCAACTTCACTTGTGTTGGGGCTGCCTTTGGAGGCCCGAATGCTCTGCCAGCGAAAACTGGCTCCCAAGCTCCGTTTTTGGCTGTGACAGTCTCCTGCAACTCTCTGCCCATGAAATCGGAGCTCAGAAGGGCCACATGCAGCCCTCCCAAGCTCCGTTTTCGTTTGCAGAGGCATTGCAGGCCGGTCCTTCGCTGTTTCCAGGGTGGGCCCACGGGCCAGATCTAAGCACCCTGCAGGCCAAATTCGGCCTGTGGATCTTGAGTTTCACACTCCTGGTCTAGAAAGAGTACAGAGAAGAGCAACAAAGATGATTAGGAGGCTGGAGGATAAAACATATGACAAATGTTGGAGGAACTGGGTATGTCTAATTTAATGAAAAGAACACGATAGCAGTATTTCAATATCTAAGGGGCTGCCACAAAGAAGAAAGGGTCAACCTATTCTCCAAAGCATCCGAAGGCAGGACAAAAAGTAATGGATGGAAACTAATCAAGGAAAGAACCAACCTAGAACTAAGGAGACGTTACCTGACAGAACAATTAATAAAACTTGCCTCTAGAAGTTGAGTATTTCAACCCTGGAGGTTTTTAAATAAAGTTGGACAATCACTTGTTTGAAATGGTTTGCGTTTCCTGCCTGAGCAGGGAGTTGGGACTAGAAGACCTCCAAGGTCCCTTCTAACTCAGTCATTCTGTTAATCTGTAATCTGACATGTGGAGTTTAGACTAACATCCCATAATAAGCATGGGGTGTGCTTAATTAGCCATCTGGGTTTGTTTTTAATATGACAAGGGGGAACTTTTTAATTCTGGGCCTTTGAGGGGGAAATTTGACTATCCCCTAAGCAAAATGCAGCATTACCTTTCCTTGTTCCAGTTTGGACCTACTAGCAAAATGCTTCAGCACAATTGCAAATCCACAATCTGCCAGCTAAACTAACACTTCCTATAACTGAAGTATTTGTGGTCAGCCTCTTTAGCTTTTGGTATTTTAAGTGAAATATCTTTTGGTAAGGGACAAAGTAGGAGTTCGCTAACTGCAGATTCCAACAATGCCTTTATCAAGCAAAAGCATAGACAAATTAAGATAGATTTGCTCTGAATCTAGCTAATTCATGGCACACTTGCAAAAAAACACACACACACACACACACCACCCTTAATATTTTGCTTAATTAATTAATAGGCCAGACCCTCAAGAGAAAGCTGCTGCTTTAAACAAAAATATGGACCCACAAGGTATATTCTGAGCTTGCACACGGAACGGTTTCCTCTTAAAGGCTACAACTACCACAGAGTTAACACAGCTGTTCCAAGTTCTGTATTGAGGTATTCCCACCATTTTCAGTCTCCTGGGGTCAAGACTGTAAAAGAGGCCGAATCATTTTGTTTTGTTGATTGCATTTTCGAGCCTCTGAAAACACTGCAACAGTAAAAAGGTCAGCGGTGACGTGAGGTTGCACCAGACCCACAAAATGAAGTCTTGAAATAATTTCAGGTATTGTCTCTAAGGTAGGAAGACTAGGACTGATCTGTCCGGCTATGCTGCGACATTACACAAACTTGCTATAGTTTATTCTAGGCACGGGACACCCTCTTTCCTGCTATTTCTATGGGCAGTTCCTATTTTATCGCCTTTTCTTTTCTCCCTCGCTCGCAGTTTTCTTGCTTGATTCCGCGCTTCTTACCGAAGGTCTTACTGAGGGGAACGGCATTTGGCGAGCACGCCTGTCCCGTTACGGTAGCTCTTGTTTCCCTCCTTGCCTTTCCGCCGCCGAGAAACAGCAGCGTCTTTTTTCCGAGTCGCCAGCCAGGCCGGCGGCTGCCAGTGGTTGCTTGCTTCTGTCGCTGCCACTCGCCCTCTAGCGGGGGAAGGCGGCGCTGTCGGCGGCTGGGCGTGACTTGGCAAGCTTGCTCTCCGCTGCCTGCTCGCCTGCCTGCCGGGAGGACCGCGAGTCAGTGCTGGGACTCGAGAGCGGCGAGGAGCGAGTTGGTTGCGAAGACGGCGCGGCGCGCTTAGCTGAGAGGCTGCCGGGCTGGAGCGGCGCAACAGGAAGCGCCGGCTGAGTGGAGTTGCCCGGCCGCCGGCGGGACTGCTGGGCGGCGCGAGGAGTAAACGGAGAGGGTCTTGCAGCCCCCTCTGCGAAAGGCGGGCGCCGTCCAAAAGGGGCCACGGAGGCGGCTGTGGCGCCTCTTCTAGCCTCTCCCCCGAGCTGGGAGGGCCGGAGAGAGCTCTTTCTACGAGGAAAGGAAATATGGGGAAAGTTGAAACTTGCCTCCTGACTTTGGCTGGACTTTTTCTGGCAACGAGAGCAGAGACGGTCACAGGTAAGACACACACAGCCTCCCCCCCCCCCCCACCTCTCTTCCCGGGCGAGCAAAAAAGCCCGAAGCCTGGGCTCTTGGAGCAAGGTGTGTGGATGGGGAGCCCCTCACGGGTGGGCTACCGTCGGGTATTGGAAAATGTGTTTCACTCGTCGGGGTGTGACCTCTGGAGCGGCTGCCAACATGGAAAAAAAATATAGCCGGGGGAGGAGGGGGGGAAAGGGGAGAGACGCCTGGAAGCGAGCAGGGAAGTTCCAGGCGCGGCGGGAGGGGAACCCGTTAAGTCTGGCTGCCTGGTGCAAAAGTGCAAAAGGAAGGGGGAGAGACTTGGATCGCGTCTGACACGTTTGAGCCAGCCTGGAAGAGGCGAAGAGCGAATCCTTCTCAGCCGGGAGATCGGGAGGCGAGCTTTAAGGGCGGTTTAAATCCAGAGCTTTAAAAACTTTCGGCTGGTGGCCAGCGGCTTTGAGGGCGGTGGCAGGGGAGGTTGACCAATTCCGAATTCCTTTTCTTTTCGGGACGCTCCGTCCGGGCAGGGCTGGCGAGGAGATGGATGTTTATTTACCACTGCACGCTCTCTGCTGGGTGGGCTTCTGGCGGGCGACCGGCAGTGGAGCGGAAAGCCTCCGTTGCTCGGAAAGCAATCGAGGCGCCCGCTGGACCTGGCCAAGCTTGCACAGACGCCGGATTGTGTGTTCAAACCCTTTGACAGCAATTGATAACATGGCTGGAGATGCAGAAAGGGATGCATCTCCGGAGTTGCATCGAAAGTGACAGTAACGGAGTTGGAAATGTGGCTCTTCCAGAAGTTGATAAGGACCGTTTGGGAAGGCAAATTTGGCTCCTCTAGAAGTTGATGTTTGTGACAACTTGTGGACAGCATAAGGGAGGGTGGTATGTGTCCTTTGTTTCTTTCCCGTCCCTTCTACCAGGATTTAGCATCTACCGATTGATGACAGCAATATTGGATCAAGGCATAACTTTTCTTGTAAATGAAATCAACCTGGCAGCTTTTTATTTTGGCAACAACCTCTCTGCTCTGCCTTTCTTCTCTGTTCTGGATCTCCTCTGCCACTATGTATAGCAAACCAACAAGGGTAAATGACATGTGTATATGTTTGTAGTGCACAACCTCCTAATTTTGGCCTGTTACTGGGTTGCGAAACAAGACATAGCTGGAAGGAATGAGTAACCTCAGACTGTTTTGCTTTCCACACAAAGCTTGAACTGTAAAAACCTATGGCAGAAATTGAAGACATCTGGGTTTCATGTTGTGTGTCCTTTGATCAGAAGCGGAAGTAGGACTAGGATTTTGCTTTGCCTCTATTGCAGCACTAACTTGGTCTTCTTATAACTAAATGTTGGGTTTTAAAAATGTACACTTATTTCTGTTGAAGTATTCTGGTTTAATCAAATATTTTAAATGCCTCAAAATTCCTCAAAATTCTTCTCTCCCTCTGTACTTAAGTCAGGAGGTTCATAGGTGCAAAAAGTGTTCCAGAGTTTGGCTCTGTAAGAAAAATAGAATTGAGGAAAAGCTCCCCCTGGTTCCCTCTGTGGTTTGAGTGATCTTATGCATAGCTGTGAATTATGTTCAGTGTTTCTATTACTGGAAGTCTTCAAATCCGTGCTTTAATTAGCTCTTGCGTTATTCAGATATAGCTGTACCTCACTGCCTAGCTATATAATTTTCTTGACTGTCTGTCAAAACTGTTGAGAAAAATGATTATTTCTGTTGGATGTTCAGAGCTATGTGTAAGTGCCAGCCAATAATACTGCTGTCCTTACTTTAATAATAATATTGTTTTAGTACATGTCTTTAGTGTTTGATATGGTATAAACTGATTTTCATAGGAGGTGACAATACGGATATTTTTGCAAGTTCATGACTTTTGAACCAGTTACATATGTTGGAAGTGGACAGTTCTATGCTAAGTTGATTGTTCCTACAACTATCTTTCTACAAGATAGAAGATACCAGATATATCGCTATTGACTGTTTGTTCTAACTTACTGGAAAATGAAAGGGTAATACAACAATACTTTGAATAAATACATTCATTGTAGAATTAAATCTTTTGTGGTAATACTTGACTATCAAAAGAATTAAGTAGAATGTTGAATTTTAAGGAGAACTCCTACACAAGACATGTAGATAATTATATCCCTCTAAAAGTATCATGCATTTTGATATTCAAATAATAAAATTTCAAAACCAGAAAACGGATTTAAAAATATTTAATTTTCTTTTTAATACTGTATATTGAATTTTAATTAAAATTCTCATTATTATATCCATTGTCTATATAGTATAACTTTTTAAGAAAAATTGTGATCAGGGAAAAAAGTGATATGGTAAAAGACTGCTTTAAAGTTTCTGTTTCTAAACTTTCAAGAAATTCTTGAAAAACAGATCAACAATAAAAGCATTGAGTTTTTTATGTGAAATTATTCATTGACAAATTTTGTATTCAAGCCCCTGATATTTAAGATAGTAATGAGAATTGATTGCAAGGTCGAAGATTTTGTAAAAGCTAATGCTTTCAAATTATTGAAACACATTTTTCATTTTCATCCAAAAAAGGAGTTTTGTTTCTTTGTTTAAGACTTTAGATGCCTATGGAATTTCAATATAATTAATTGGATAACCTGTCCAAATAAATTTGCATAACTTTATGCAAACTTATTTTATATTAATTATTGAAAAATGGCTATTGAATAATTTCTGAAAATATAATATTATTTTTAGCATGTAGTTTTGTAGTCTGTTTGTCCAATAGGTTAGCTATGCCCCAAAGAAGTCATAATTTGGAGAACTGAAGAGAGCCTTGTGATGATCTCTCATAATCATGCAATATCAAGAAAGATGCGATTGAATTTAAAAATCAGATTATATGTATAAAATACTTTTTTTTTTAAATCTACATACCAAGCAGTATTTAGAAACTTGGTGCTTCTTATTATAAAAAATGCTTGTACTAGAAGCAGAAAAGCCTGTTATTTGACTGCACAATTACTTTAGAAGTGGCAAACAACTAATGCTTCAGTCCTGAAGCCATTTATTCAAAAGAGTTAGGATAGCATGTTCACATTCTAATTGTGCTGTCACAATTTGCTCTGTTTGCTGCCACAGCATCAGAACTGGATTTTTATTTTTGTTTAATGATGTATTCATAGGCTTTTACTAATAGGTTTGAAATAATGTGAAAGGTAAAAAAAAAAGTAATGAGGAAACAGTTTAAGGCCTTAATTAATTACCTGAAATGGCTTTAATTTCTTACAAGGTATATTCATTTCTTTCTGTTATTTTGTTTTAAACTGAAAAGTAGAGTAAAACCGACTACATTATAAAGCAATATCTGTAAAGAAGTAATTGTGTTTGAAAAAATAAATAAGCATTTCAAAATCATACTAGTAGTGTTAATAGCTTAAGTAAATACATTAAAATTAAGAGCAATATTGTAATACTGTTGAATAAATGCTTGCAACAGCCAAGCTATAGTTATTAAAATATTGTATTGTTGTTATCCATGATTTGTTGTTAAATGGAATATATTGATGTGTATAAAAATTTTGATCCTGCATTCCTACATTTGAGTTATTCAGAAGTTTTATTGGATCAAAAATGACAGAATTATGACACATTGACAGATGTTACAAAAGCTCTATGGACACATCTGTATCATGGGAGATAACAAAAATAATGCCATCTGTACCAGCAGCTTATGGAATAGCAGCTTTATTCCCAATGAAATATGTTTCTCTATGTTAGAAATTTTTATTAAATAGTGCTCCCATGTATTTGGATTGAAGCATATAGACCCTTATTTAAATGTAACATTCAGACAACAGACCCTAGGCACTATAAAAGATATGGTCTAAGTGTATACTAATGTATACTATGCTCAGCTTAAATTGTATTGAGAAAATTATTGCCTGTATCTGCTATGCATCTGTACATGGAAATTTATTTCTCTATATTTGGCTAATAATTTAACTGTTCTATTGGATTGGTCAAGTGACCTCACAGGAAAGCATGTTGTAGACCAATGGTTGTCCCTTAACTATAGAGTACTATAGTGAACCTGGAATACCCTAGTACAAGTCCACTCATTCCATGTAAACTTACTGGATGACTTTGGACCAAAACCCAACCTACATCAGAGTATTCTTGTTATGGAACAACATGAATAGAGATCATCATAAAAACTGTCTTGAGGTCCTAGAGAAAAGTTGGATTACATGTGTTAAAATTCAGAATAATAGGATATTTCATCCATGGCATGAGATTTGCCATGGTCCACATAGGTGTGTAACATACTTCCATCAGTTTCTTTTGTGATTGTTTCTAAGTGGTGTGAGAAACTAAGATCCAAGTCCAAAGTCTTCTGTGGGCATTATGTTTCTGCAAAATCCTAAAAATGGCAAATACAGGTTTTCCTTTATTTTTATGCAGCCATAAGGAACTTCCTGTTTACACTTTGCCTTAGATGTAGAATTCCAGTGATATGAGTTTCAACCAACTTTTTGTTTTCATAATACTTTGTTTCTTGCCTATGACTGTTGTTAGGTGATGGTGCTAATGCGGAAACTATATCAGACTTGTCTTGTGTTACTTATTAAAAAACTAAGGTTTTCTGTTCAGTCACTGATTAAAATGACACTGTTATTATGATAATATAGAAGAGAGAAAATATACCCTACAGCCTGTTACAAGGATGTAATTACACTGAAGAATTCCTATAATGCATCTTTGGTCTCACAGTTTACCTATCAGATTGTGTGTAAGAAAATTACAGCAAAATTACAGCATTTATTCTTTTAAAGCATTATCTGTTGATGACATCTTTTAGAATGACAACTGAAAAGTCTGAGTTCACTACATAGTTATAGAACATTTGTATACTCAGCTTTTAGAATCATGTAATAATTGAGAATAGAGAGAATACAAAATATCCCGTGTGTTCTTTGTCTGAGAAAATGTTCCAGCCACTTGCGATGTG